ATAAGCTCTCCTGGTCCGCTTATAACACCTTCCTCGTCAAAAACTACTTCTATGAAACCGCGACTTGACGAAGCCCGAAAGACAGCAGAACAGGACATCGAACTTGGTTTGTGGATCGAGAAACTGGCGTCTGACTTGTTGAAACAAGAGAATCTAGACGGGATCAAATTCGATCCTGAATTTGAAAATTGGCGCAGCAAGGTGTGGGAAGAGGCGCTTCGTCGGCAAGAAATAGACCCCTTTCAAGAAGAAGGCGATCAGCGATCGTGGTTCTGGAAGTTCTTGTTGCTTCAGAGGCTTTCGCCCTTTACTTTACATAACTTAGCATTTCCACTGCTAGTACGAGAACTAGAGCGACAAGCACAACCTGAAAGTAATTTCATCCCGCCTTTTGCGCCACATCGATGCAGAAGGGAATGAGGTCGTGCAAGAAGTGGGTGACATTTTTCAGAACGGTAAGATCACGACCAATCCGTTTCTTAGCGACTTCGCCCACAATCCGATCGTGAAAAGATCTAGAAAATTATGAAAGGGTGCGCTGATAATACACTGAAGATAATTTTTTCTGGATAAGTAATACTTAGTCGAAGAAGTCATGGTAAGTATGAAGAAAGCTACAGTAAATCCGCATTTTCTTCACCATTTCTAAAAACTGGTATATTCACCTCTCTTGTACCGAACAGTTTGCGAGCATGGTTTCCTTCGCGGTTCCTTTCGGCAAGTCCAGGAACACAGTTTAGGACAACCAGCATTGATATCGGGGAAATTCGGCGACCGTTCCCAGTTATTCGTGCACTCGTTGGCGTGTCTCTGGTGCTGGTCGTGATTCTGATTGTGGTGTTTTTTCATATAGGCGCTTGTCACAAGTTGGCATGTTGTTTAGCGGTCCTGGCGCTTCTTCTTCGAAAAACGATTCAACTGCAACAAGTGGAGTAGCAGGTAGAAGTGGAGCACCCGAACTGCCAAGTACTGAAGCATCAGCTGAACCTGTACCCATTGCAACGGAGAAAACTGGTGGCGTGGCTGTTGTGCAGGAGAAACAGCAAAAAGCTGGACGCGATGCGATGGCTGCCGTGAGTGACGCCCCATCCTCGAGCAACAACATGGTTCATCAGGTTAGCGGTGGTCAAGTAGGAGGAGCTGAAATTAGAAGCGTGGCTGTTAGTCCTGCTCCTGCAACTGCAAGTGCAAGTAGTCCCTGATTGTAGTTTGTTGTGAATACTCGAGAAACTTAGAATGATGGAAGGATATGCCATGCTGGATAAGAATTGGACGAAGTTTGAGAATGGATTTTGTGACACGATAGGTCTGACTTTCGAGCAATATCCTGTTCGTACAACATTGCAGCCTGCTACGGTGTTCAAAATTTTCGTCGTCACGAGAATGATTGATGTTTTTAGTCTTGAAGATCGCAGTGGATATCCGCGAAGGAATGTTTTTCTTTTTAATTACTTAGACCTTTACCTGTACTTTCGATCTTGAGCTTGAAGACCAAGACGAAAATGGGACTAAGTACTTGTTCATTCCAGCAAAATCTCTGAACATCGTGAAATAGTTGTGGTGCTGTGCTACTAGAAAAGAGCAACCAAAATATACGAATAGATGTTGTCGCATCTCCAGCCGTCTCCCTCTACTTGCCTCTATGCCGTCCGGGCAGGTCCCTGCCTAAGTGGTGGAGGAAAGGTTCTTGCTGGGACAACAATTTCCGCATCTTCATCGTCGTCTTTGCCGGTAGATCATATCACCTCACCGCAGCACCCTCTTTCGCAAAATGTGCACAAGAGGTATCCACACAGTCAAGGGTACCGAACCCATCGCCTTTTTCGCTACAGTGGAATAAG